CTTAGTATTATAGGTATATAACATTGTGCCCAGGTAGGTGATAGGTTTTGGCCTTCCTAGATTAACCTAAAGATCCAGTCTGAGTCTCTGGTACAAATCTGAGTCATCAGAGTATACTTCATGCCAGGCTGGTACATATGATGCAGATACTTGTCCAGTCAGTGAGACTCGCTGGTCACCCAGGTACAACTGTCCCTCAATGCTTGCGGCTATTTATGAACCTATATGTTCCAGTGGCATTGGACAATCTGGGAATTTGAGGGGCCCTGGTGATACATTTTCTCCCAACTATTAAGGTCTACTTCAGGGACTGTAAACTCAATTGTCTGCACAAACCAGGAAGGTAATATATTATACAAAGATCAGGCTGGATTGAGAAGTGGTGTCTTGAAAGAGAAAATATAACCCCCATCTAAAGGAGGCAGCCTTGGCCAGGCGCGGTGGCTCATGCCTGTAATCCTAGCACTCTGGGAGGCTGAGGCAGGTGGATTGCTCGAGGTCAGGAGTTCGAAACCAGCCTGACCAAGAGTGAGACCCCCATCTCTACTATAAATAGAAAAAAATTAATTGGCCAACTAATATATATAGAAAAAATTAGCCGAGCATGGTGGCACATACCTGTAGTCCCAGCTACTCAGGAGGCTGAGGCAGTAGGATTGCTTGAGCCCAGGAGTTTGAGGTTGCTGTGAGCTAGGCTGATGCCACGGTACTCACTCTAGCCTGGGCAACAAAGTGAGACCCTGTCTCAAAAAAATAAAATAAAATAAAGGAGGCAGCCTCTACTCGGTGCCTGAAGATCCCCAAGTTGTGGGATTGTAAGCTCACTGTGGCAGGATATTCCAACTTTTCTAAGACATTAGGTGTTCATATTAATATTATAAATATGCCTAATAAAATGTCAATAGGCCAAATTCAGCCCACAGAGTACCAGTCTGATCTACTTTAATCACCTTTAACCTATACAACATCTTTGCTCAAATTGGAAAGATCAAAAGATTTACTATACAACATCATGACCACAGTTAATGTATTAAATTCTTGAAAATCAGTTGAGACAGATTTTAAGTGTTCTTCCCACAAAAAATGATGTGACATAATGCGTATTAGTTAGCTCAGATTGGCCATTCCACAATACACATTTTAAAACATCATTTCACATGGTAAATATATATAATTTTTGTTTGTCAATTAAAATAAATAAATTCATTTTAAAATTTTATCTAATAAAAAAAAGTTGCCCTTTGGGCAAACCCATGAGAAAAAGGTGTCACATAGTATGTCAAGTACTGGGCAGACCAAATTTCAGTGCTTAGTTGCTTCCTCCACTACGTGCCCACAAATAGCAAAACCCGACGCAGCTGCCCTAATCAGATAGAAAAAAAATAGTCCGAAACAGAAAAAACTAAGTCAATCATAAGATAGGTTTTAGGATGTCCAATAAAAACACAGTTCCCAGAAGTCAGTCTGAAGACTTCACTGCATGAGAATCCTTTGGGCATGATTTTTTTTAAGATGGAGGTCTCACTATGTTGCCCAGGCTGGAGTCAGTGGCTATTCATAGCTATAGTTATAGCGCCCTCTAGAGCATTGAACTCCTGAACTCAAGCAATCCTCCTGCCTCAGCCTCCCAAATAGCTGGGAATATAGGTGTTCACCACAAAGCCTAGCAGCATGATTTTTTTAAATCCCCAGAAATACAGGATCAGAATCTGTGGGAGAGCACTTGTGTAAACTTATATTTTTAAAATATAAAGTAAGATCGTGCCACTGCTCTCTATCCTGGGTGACCGAGTAAGACTCTGTCTCAAAAATAAATAAATAAAAGTAACACATATACATACATACACACATACACCCTTCCATCATTTGACTCTCAGGTTTGAGAAGTTCTATGATTTTTTCAATTAAAGAAAGAGTATTCCTCTTGTCCAAGGATTTAAAATCATTGTGAGCTACTTTTAACTCTGTAGGTTGTTTTTGTTGGTTATTCTTTCTAGACCATATCCTGAATGACAGTTGTTCATTTTAGATTTGATGTTCACAAAGTTTTGGGAGTGGATGCTTATAAAATGCTACCTGATGATGACAATAAACATCTCCACTTGAGCAGGATAATTATGTGGTATTTAAGCGAGGCTCTGACATAAACACTCACAGCCTAATGCCTGGTATATAATAGGAGCTCAATAAATGCATGCAGAAATGAATGAATGAAAGGAATTAAGAAAGAAAATGATAAGGGAGGGAGGAAAGATGAATTAATGGCCTAAAACAACAACTCAGAGATATCTATGACTGATGTGGTGTCAACTAAATTAATCAATGAACTACAACTTATTTTAACCAATATAATAATTCAATAGCAAAAAAAAAAAAAAAAAATAATTCAATAGCAGATGCCTTTAAATAAAACCAATAAACCTTAAAAATCTGTCTTTTTCATAATTTAAAAATGCAACTAGGACAGCAAAGTTTAATCTTTAATGCCAACTTACTTAATTTTACTTACTTAAACCACACCCTATAAGGAGACAACATGAATTTTCCTTTTACTTAGAAGGAAAAAAAATCCAGTAACTATAAATTACCTTTATTTCTGCATAGTGAAAGTGCAATTTCAGAATTGTTACTCAAAGGACGGCGTTTTCCTTTCCCTACAAGCTCGGTATTTACAAAAGTTCCATTCCCACTGTGATCTTCGATGTACGCAATGTAAGAGTTTTTAGGACCCATTTCCTAAAATAGAGCACATTTTATTTCAAACTTTTAACAACAGGGATTTAAAGTGGAAGAATATCTAAGACCAATGACTAGATTACCAGATCTCCCAAGTATGTGGAAGATATTAGTCACTTACCCTAAAAATCCGAAAGTGTTTCTTGCTATATGTCCGGTATTTATCTGTTTTTTTCAGTAGTGGTTCATCAAAGCAATAGTCACAGCTTCTGTCCCTCCCAAACCAGTAGCTATCATTAACACACTCTGTAAAACGAAAGCACATACCAGAGGGCTGTTGAATTTCATGTATCAAACATCTTTTAAAATTTCTCATAAATCTATTTGTAGGAAAATAGCCTAAGAAGGCAATCAAAATTATAGATTTGCTTATCAAGATTTTATAAGATTAAGAATTAGGAGGAAAAAAAACCAAAATCTTCCAACAATGAGTTTAATAAATGATGGTTTATATATAACTATGAAATAGTAGCCATTAGAAGTTCTCAAATAATTTTTTTATAATTTAAGGCCCCTTGGAGTAGACACAGATCAAATTTTTAATGACTTGGAAAAAGTCTTAGAATGCAATAACTTCCTGCTTATTATCTTCCAGAGACTTCCCACCACACTTAGTATAAAATCTGCAGTCTTCCTCATGGTTCTGGCCTCTGCTCCATTCCAGCCTCACCTGGTACCCCTCTTCCTTTGCTCACGACCCCTAGTACCTCTGGCCTCCTTTCATTGCTCAAAGTACGCTGGGCTCAGCCTGCCTTGTGGCCCTTGCACTTCCTCTTCCCCAACCCCTTGAACGGCTTGTTCCAACTTGCCTATTGTGTCTGAACTCAAATATCATCTCTCATTCAGCTTTCTATATATACACTACCCACCTGTTATCATAACGATATCCTGTTTTATTTCCTTCTAAGTATGGACAATAACTGGAAATTACCTTGATTATTTGTATATTGTCTTCCCGCATCCCCCTGTTAGAACATGAACCCCAGGAGGGCAGCCTTGGTTAAGAGTACAATTCTTGCTACCTATACCTTGAAAAAAAAAAAAAAAAAAGAGTACAGTTCTACCACCTGGGACAATGCACATGAGTAGGTAATTATTGTTCATTGAAAGACAGACTAAGGGCCATTGCAGTGGCTCATGCCTGTAATCCCAGTACTTTGAGAGGCCAAAGAGGGAGGATTGCTTGAGGCCAGGAGTTTAAGACCAGCCTCGGCAACATAGCAAGACCCTGTCTCTAGAAAAAAAATAGAAAAATTAGCCAGACTGGTGGTGTGTGCCTGTAGTACCAGCTACTTGGGAGGCTGAGGCAGGAGTACCACTTGAGCCCAGAGTTTGAGGTTGCAGTGAGCTATGATGACACCACTGTACTCTAGCCTGGGTGACAAAGCCAAGACCCTGTCTCAAAAAAAAAAGTCAATATTAAAATAAATATTAATACTTAGGAATAAATTCTTAAAAGTATAAAACTTGTATGTTAGGCCGGGCGCTGTGGCTCACGCCTGTAATCCTAGCTCTTGGGAGGCCGAGGCGGGCGGATTGCTCAAGGTCAGGAGTTCAAAACCAGCCTGAGCAAGAGCGAGACCCCGTCTCTACTATAAATAGAAAGAAATTAATTGGCCAACTGATATATAAAAAAAAAATTAGCCGGGCATGGTGGCGCATGCCTGTAGTCCCAGCTACCCGGGAGGCTGAGGCAGAAGGATCACTTGAGCCCAGGAGTTTGAGGTTGCTGTGAGCTAGGCTGACGCCACGGCACTCACTCTAGCCTGGGCAACAAAGCGAGACTCTGTCTCAAAAAAAAAAAAAAAAAAAAAACAACTTCTATGTTGAAAACTACAAAACATTGTTTAAAGAAATTAAAGAGGATTATAATAAATAGAAAGATGGCCCACATTCATAGAGCAGAAGACAATATTGTTAGGATGTCAATATTCCCCAAATTGATCTACAGATTGAATTGTAATCCCTATCAAAATCCTAGCTGCCTTCTTTGCAGGAAGTGACAAGCTTATCATAAAGTTCATATGGAAATACAAGGGATCCAGAATAGTCAAAACAGTCTTTAAAAAGAACAAATTGGGATTCACACTTCTATATTTTGAAAATTACCACAGGCCAAGCGTGATGGTTCATGCCTGTAATTCTGGCACTTTGGGAGAAGGGAAGATGGTTTGAGGCCAGGAGTTCAAGACCAGCCTGGGAAACATAGTAAGACTCTCATCTTTATAAAAAGCAAAAAAATTTTTTTTAAAAATTAGTCAGGTATGGTGGTGGGTACCTGTAGTTCTAGCTACTCAGGAGACTAAGGCAGGAGGATAGCTTAAACCAAGAGTTCCATGTTACAGTGACCTATGATCATGCCACTGCACTCTAGCCTGGGCAACGGAATAAGACCCTGTCTCTAAAAACAAAACAAAAAAACTTACTACAAAGCTACAATAATAAAGATTTTTGCTACTGGCATAAGGATACATAGGTCAATGGAAGAGAATTGAGAGTTCAGAAATAATCCCTCACATTTTTCTTCTTCTTTTTTTTTTGGCATAATTGACACCGAGGATCATCAAATGATTCTTGACAAGAGTGCCATGCCCATTCAACAGGAAAGAATAGTCTTTCCTAGAAATACCACTGGGACAACTGGATATCCACATGCAAAAGGATGAATTTTAACCCCTAATTCACACCATCTACAAAAATCAACTAAAAATGGATCAAAGACCTAAATGTAAGAGGTAAAACTATTAAGTTTTTAGAAGAAAACATAGGCATAAATCACTAACAAATAATAATAATAATAAATAGCCTCTATTTATTGGGCTTCTACTTTATGCTTACTTACCATTCTATCAGGTTCTTTATGTTTTCTCACTTTTAAAGGTGCTACAACCACTTCACCCTTTATCACCATTTCTGTTTGCCACTCACCTAAGTCTATAAGTCTATCTTAAAAATATGACTTAGATAGAATCTGAGGGTATTTTGTAAAAAAAAAAAAAAAAAAAAAAAAAAATGACTTACCTAAAATCCTAGCACTCTGGGAGGCTGAGGCAGGAGGATAGCTCAAGGTCAGGAGTTTGAAACCTGTCTGAACAAGAGCGAGACCCCATCTCTACTAAAAATAGAAAGAAATTAATTGGCCAACTAATATATATAGAAAAAATTAGCCAGTCATGGTGGAGCATGCCTGTAGTTCCAGCTACTCAGGAGGCTGAGGCAGTAGGATTGCTTGAGCCCAGGAGTTTGAGGTTGCTGTGAGCTAGGCTGACGCCACAGCACTCACTCTAGCCTGGGCAACAAAGCGAGACTGTCTCCAAAAAAAAAAAAAAATATATATATATATATATATATATATATATGACTTAAATGAGTAAAAATTAGCTTCAAATATTTACTTTTAAATTTAAAGCTGTCTAGTAGAATATTATATTATTCTATAATAATATATTAGTATATTACTAATATAATTTTTACATTAATATAATAATTACATTATATTATTTCTCCTTTTTTTTTACTGCTTTTCCTCCTTTTTTTCTTTTCTTTTTTTAAGGCTAGTCAAGTGGAGCAGTGGGAGCAGAGAAGGAACAAAGGAATCTGTAACTGGTTGTGATCAATTAGTTGTAAACATCACTGCACTCAGACCAGCCTTTCCTGTTTTTTTCAAGACATCAAAGTTGGGCACAAAATAGAGCAAAAGGGTGACAAGTGACAAGGTACAAAATGGTACATTAGTCATTCATTTCTTTATATTAATATTTCTTATTTTATTAATATCAAGTTCCCAGGTTTTTACAAATGGGAGAGGTCATTTTAATGTAAGAGGGAGGAAAAAAATGCTATTTCAAGCATATTCATGGGAGTTACTATTGGAACCAGGTGTTAGAGAGGATCAACATATTTAAATTGCAGTGCTGGCTATCTTGAGACAAAAACAAATAACAGGTAGTCAACAAATAGCCTTCCCTATTCTGAACAGCTCTGGGCTCTGAAGGTAAAGCAAACCACAGCAGGGATTAACTGGCCATGCTTTTGTGACCAGATTATAATGTCTGCATGTTTGCATAAATCTACATTTTTCTAGGGATGGGTTCCACAGCTCCCTTCAGATCCTCAGATGAACAGCACGTTGCAAATGCCCAATTTACAGCAGGTTAAGAGCCAGTGCAATATCCAACAATGCCTCATTGGTTTTATCTTTCATAATCTTCAATCTCAAGCTTTCTGCCGCAACAACTTTCTGTGACTGTTTTTCCAAACAAAACACTATCCTATATAACAACAAAGGGTCTTACCAAGATTGGAGAATCCATCCTGAAGGGACCATAATCGAGCCCAAGGGGTAGGAACAGGCTCCTCAGGTTCTTGGTCCTCAGGAATAGAATAGAGTTCCTGAGTGGACACTGTCTCTAAGGAGCTCAGGGTGCCAGAGCTGGAGTGGGAGGACTGGCTGGAGGTAGGCACTGTGCTGGTAGAAGAGGTAGATGAGCCCTGGTACTGTGAGGAGGAGCCATGGGACTGTGAGCCTTGGGACTGGGTGAAGCCACCTTGGGGCTGTGAACAGGCACCGACTCCGAGGGACTGCGAGGAGGCACTGCCGTGGGACTGCTGACCCTCCACGTCTGTCTCCCGAGACATCACGACCTCAAAAAGGAAGTGTCCAACATAAGGTGAGTTTCAAGGAACAAGACTTAAAGTTCAAAATTAAAGGATAGCCATATTGCAACAGCATTAAAAAAAATCAAGGGCAAGCATGCTCTGCAAAAATTAAAATCCTAATAGTCTAGACTAGACCTGCAGTTATTCTGGGCTTAGTTTTTCTTTGGATCATCATCACCAGATCAGAATTTTTTCTGACAGCCATAAACCACTGGGGAAAAACAACAACAACAAAAAAAAAAAAAACAACTTGAAAGCTACAAATAAGTAAAAAGCAATAAAATTGAGTTGGGCAGGGATTCATAAAAGCTTACATTCATTCAATTTTCAAAAATTAGGAATGAAACCTAACATATTAATTCACTCATTACTACATTTGAATTTCATATACAGTCTTATGATGGTTAAATTTAACAAATGTTCAACTTTATGAAGGTGTGAAAGCAATATGCTTTCAGTAGAAACCATATTTCCGAGTACCCATAACCATTCTGGTTTTCACTTTCAGTACAGTATTCAATTAATTAATGAGATGGTCACCACTTTATTATAAAACAATCTTTGTGGTAGATGATTTTGGCCAACTGTAGGCTAATATAAGTGTTCTGAGCATGTTTAAGGTAGGCTAGGCTAAGCTATGATATTTGCTAGGTTAAATGTATGTTAGGTGTATTAAATTCATTTTTAACTTGACAATATTTTCAGCTTACAATGGTTTCTCTGGATGTAACCCTATCATCGAGGAGCATCTGTATATTTTGGAAAGGAAAAGAAGGAACAGATGACATGGGACAGAAGACAGGAAAAAAAAAAAACTGCAGTAACTCTCTGCAGCAGTCCAGGGAGTCTATTTACATAAACCCTTACTGACACTCCAACCCCAGGGTTGCTCCTACAGCAAAGCAATCACACCCTGTTTATTCATTCTAGATTCCCTGACACCTAACTAAGGGCCCCGCCACCAAAGAAAGACTGCTCTAAACAACTCCACCTAGCCCATTGTGATGCTAAGTTAACTGTGGAGCTCATCTTTTCAGCACCCTGGCCTTCCAGCCTCGATGGAATCTAGCAGGAACCATTCTTTGATTCACAGGAGACTATAACAGAGGCTCCCACCCTTGTCTTAGAATTTACCTGAAAGACAGTCTAAGTAACTTTCAACACTGACCTAAACAACAACAACAAAAAAGGTGCACTCTCTTCCTGCTGCCCTCACTCAGGCTACTACTCCAGTAGAACATAACATTATGTCGCCCTCCCTTATCTAAGGGAAATATATAGACCAAGACCGCCAGTGGACGTCTGAAACTGTGGATGATACCAAACCCTATACATACTCTGCACAACTTTCCTTTTCCATCTTCACAATTTCAGGGGTAGAAGATACATTGTTACTCTAGATCTTAGCAAGCTCAGCACACAATTTTTTTTTCTTTCCTTAAGTTGAGAACTTTCAGCTTTTCACTTAAACGAAGCACTTTCTGGCTTCTCTTTGGCATATCTGAATTGTCAGCATCATTACTCTTGCCCTTTGGGGCCATTATTAAGTAAAATAAGGGTGAATTGAACACAAAAACTGTGAAACCACAAAATTTAAAACTTATGAGTTGTTCATTTCTGGAATTTTCCATTTCATATTTACAGTTGACCTCAGGTAACTAAAACCACAGCAAGCAAAACTTCAGATAACAAGCAACTAACTGTGCTCATACCTACTGCATTTATACAGCTTTCAAAATATGAAGGTCTTGATGAGTTTTCTTTAAAACATACCAGGAAGGTGATGCCACAGCTGAGTTTGCCACTCCAGATCTGCTGGTCTAATACTAGCCAGGCTGGGTCTTTCCTGCAGCTTTTTGAGGAAGACTTCTCTGCCCTGACAACTGGAGAAAGACAATGTGTCAAAAGATAGCTGTGAGAGGTTACAGGGAAGCAGGTCTGAAGTCACACCTTTGCATGAAACCTTTACATAACCTTTAGGTAGATGGCAACCTCTCTGAGCCTGTTTTCTCATCTGAAAAAATTACATAGATCATGAGGATTTTCTTTTTCACAGCCCCTCATAAGCCATGGCATGATCGAAAGAAAGGATTAAATGAGGTGATGGACGTAACGCCCCCCTCCCCCCAGTGCTTGCTAATTGGGAGCTATTCTTATTGGAGAGCCATGCAGAATGGTGAGTGAAAAGCCAAGCGGACCGCGGCAAAACTCCAGGACTGTGAACAGAATTCCATTCCCAAAAAATTCAAGAGGCCTTACACGGGCAACACGACCTTTTTTTAAACTTGGGAAACTAAGGCTCAAGGAGGACTGGTGCCCTCCTCCCCACTCTTCGCCACCCCATCCCACACATTGACTTAGGAACACTAGCAGGACATCCTGATACACAGGTCAGTGCCTGATCAGTTCCTGCAGTGCCTAGTAGCTAAGATTGGATTTCCTATAAGTATAGGAGATTATTTCAATCAATTTAGATATTGAACCTAAATTACTATTATTTAATGGTAATAATTACTAAAATTTTTTTCTTAAACTCTTTACAAAGTAACTTCGCTTAGATACTGAAGAGCACAACTCTGTTCCTTCTTATCCTGTAGATCCAGGCCTGTTTCAGCTTGTGAAAGAGGAAGTGAACTTCGCCTCGACGATTAAGAGAGTCGCCCACACACACCCCCTCCAGCTCAAAAATACACAAGAAGCGAACCTCAGGACATTCCACTCGCATAAGATGCTGAGGATGGGATTCGAACCACCAAACAACCAAGAGAAATTCCCCACTATGACTCACCGCGGGAGCCCACCTGGTGCCCCACAATCTCCGCAGCCGCAGCCAGCAGAGTGGCGCTAAACCTGCATATACAAACTCCACCCTCAGCCAATCAAAACGCCCTCCCCCCAGCCGCCGGACCAATGAGGAGCAGCATATATGGCCGCCAGGCGCAGCCTCAATGCTTTCTGGGAGTTGTAGTTTACAAGACATAGCGGAACTCAGAATTTAGATTTCCCCCGGGTGATCCCGCCCCCTCAGCTTTCCAGCCAATCAACAGCGTTAATCTGGTCGGCCCCTCTTGCCGGTTTTCCTCCCACAGGTGACTGCGGCGACATAGACCGCTGGCCAGATGTGGAAGGGGAAAGCCGGGGCCTTGCTCCGCGTGTGGGGGTTATGGCCAGCAGGGGTCCCCAGAAGGAGACTACTAAGCTGCGATGCTGCGTCTCAGGCGGGAAACAGTTCACCCAGCTGTTGGAACTGCGGCAGCCCAGGAAGCCCTGGGCAAGGGGACCGGTTCTTCTGTCCGCAGTGCCGCGCGCTGCAGCCACCTGACCCCACTCGAGATTACTTCAGCCTCATGGATTGGTATGCATGACGATGTCAGGAAACTGGCCGAGGCGAGAAAGACGTCAGGGGCTGACCTGCGAGAGGGGAGGGTTCGGTCATGCTTGAGAAGGAGAAGGCGGGGCTGGTAAGATAGGAGGGCGGAGCCGTAGAGAGCAGGGGTTGGAGATGTGTCCTGAGAGAGAGGAAATTGAGTGACGGGGACTGAGGCTCCGGGCGATGAAGGTACCGTGACTCGGGGAAATAGGACTGGAGGGGCGGGGAATTGAGTTGGAGAAAATAGTACGACAGATGGTTGCTACTACAATGGACAGACTGGAGGGGTGGGACCTGGGAAAAGGGAGACTTGAAGGATAGGGACAGAAAAGTTTAAAGTTGGGTTGAGACTTTTAAGAAAGGAGTATTGAAGTGTGGTCTAAGATTGGGAGGTAAGAGCATGAAAGACAATATTGTGGGTGAGGCTTAAGGGAAAAATGGGAATTGGAGGAAGCAGGTCCAAGAAACGGCGTTTTTCCTCTGAGGGTGAGGAGCTTGGAGAAGTGGGGAAGTGTGGGCAGAGCTGAACTGGTGAGGAAATAGGGAAGGTTCTGGGAATAGAAAACAAAGGGAGTGAGATTAAAATAAAGTGGGAGACAGGGATGAAGGGATCGAGGTTTTGGAAAGATAGGATGGCAATGAAGAAAAAATTATTCAGTGACACTTATAAAGCACAGGAGGGAAGACTTTCTTCAGGATCATCTCCATAGGTAAAAAGACCACTGCGGTGAGATCTTGGAGTAGTGGAAAGAGATTGTGCTGAACTCCGAATACAGCATGGGCAAAAGGGAATTCATAGCTAAAGAGCAGGATGGGGGGTCAGTGGATGGAAAATTACTAAGAGGAAACATCAGGTGTCAGGGAGATTCTGGCTAAACCTACCTAATAGGAGTCTTGCTGAAGATAGGCCAGAGTGATCAGACATTGCCTGGGGGAAGGAAAGAGGAGGAGGATGTAGAAACTGATCAGGCACCTAGGATGACCAAATATCCAGGATGATAGGTTCTGGCTAAAGTGACTTAGCAGGGTTCTTTGCTAAAACTTCATTTTACAAGGAAGTGCACAGATAGGCCTTGGAGAAGGTTCAGACGCCTGTCTGAAGTTTGACCAAGCAAAGAATCTTTGTCAGTGGGATTCAGGAATCCACCTTCTCCTTAACTATGGGATCTGCCCCCACCAGTCTCTGAGCACTTATGATGAGCTGCTATAACACTGATCTTTAAGTTTCTTAAGCGTCCCAATCTAGCTCCCACCACAGGGCCTTTGTACTTGCTATTCTTTCTACCTAGATAGCTCTTTCCTCTGATCTTTGATTACTCATCATCGTCATTCAGGTCTCAGCTTAGATGTCACTTCTTTATTCACCGCATCTCCCACTCTCTCTGACCCTGTTCTGTTTCCCTTTATAGCACCTACCACTTTTTGGAATTATGTTTCTATGTTTATTGCATCTTTCTCATAAGAGCAGGAACTAGGCCCATGGTAGACAAGTCTATATATATTTGTTGCATGAATTTCATCTCCCATTTTCCTTCCAGCAACCATTCCTTCAGAGTTGACACTACAAAGCTCCAGCACAGGTACCAGCAACTACAGCGTCTTGTCCATCCGGATTTCTTCAGCCAGAAGTCTCAGGTAGCTTATTGGCCATCCCCAATAATCCCAAGCATGGGCACACTGGATGGCAGTGCCCTGTGGTTATGTGATTGACAAGGCTGAACAACTAGCTCCATCCTGTGGCAGCCTGACCCCAGACAGCTAAGCCATGGAGCTGTCATTCACTCGCATCTTTTATCTAACTTCCCAGACAACTTAGAACCCATCAGCTGAAAATAAAAACACCTCATCCATCCCCAGTTTACTTTAGCCATCCCCTGCCTGCCGACATTTTATAAAATTTGTGGATATAAGCTGACTGATCTGGATGGTAATAAGACTATCTTCATCTCCACTAACAGATTGAAAAGGAATTCTCAGAGAAGCATTCGACCCTGGTGAATGATGCTTATAAGACCCTTCTGGCCCCCCTGAGCAGGGGACTGTACCTTGTAAGGTGATTTCCCAACCCTTCTGTGTGTGACTTCCTGGTGCCCATTGTGGTGTAGGACAGCTCCTTTCCCTGTATGCAGCAGGAGAATGCTTGAGACTTGAGGTAGTCCAGGGACCCAGAGATTTTAGCCTCAAACATACTACACAAGCGTGGTTTTCTCTGAGTATTCTAAGTATTCTCTGTAAATCTTACTTGCCCCAAATGCATTTTTTAAACCATTTTCTATGAATTTCAAGGATTTGATGATGATGGCTTTTAAGCTTTTAGGAGAGAGTAATGTTGGGTGGTTTGTTTGTTTGTTTGTTTTCAGGAGCATATTAAAATCCAGAAAATTTTAAAATTGAGTAAAATCTTTACAAACATCTAGTTCAACCTCTAAGTAGAAGAATTGCTACCCCCACGGTCTCACAGTTCAGGCAGCACAAGTGGGATCCTGTCCTAGCACTCCTGTCTCAGTCCAAGCTTTTTACACCCTACCGTTCCTCTTTCATTATTGAGACAGCTCCAGTTTTCCTCATGAGTGGTATTATGTTCTGAAGAATGAGTAGGATTTACATGACTCTGGCCATAGCTTCTTCAATTTATTTTTCTTGCTCTCTGCCACAATAGCTAAAGCTCCGTGGATTACAGATTTCTGAAGGAACAGATTATGAAATGGACAGGCAATTCCTCATGGAAATAATGGAAATCAATGAAAAACTCGCAGAAGCTCAAAGTGAAGCTGCCATGAAAGAGATTGAATCCATTGTTAGAGGTAAAAGATAAAATACCACTGATAATCATTTTATTGCTATTATGGGTACTTATCCTCAGTTTAGTGAAAAATGAATGTAAGAGTACATATTGGTCATCATAATTATTCAGTTTTGTTTTTTTTTAACATACCAAAACAAGTTTTGTCTGAAGGTTAAATTTGCAACATCTCTAACGTTATGTAATGCAGCTTAAACCAAGAATGTAATCCTATTTTATACATTGCAATGATCTTTCCCTCCCATGACATCATTTAGATACTATTATCTCTAACAAGGAAAATGGGCCTCAGAAGTTAACAGAAATGCCCAAGGTCAAACAGCACATATGCAACTGGACAAAGATTAAAAACCTGATCTTTGGATCTCATATTGCTTTATTTTCCACTTTATTCCATTGTTTATCAGCTAGGATTCTCCAGAGAACACATTGGATGGATGGATAGATAGGTAGATAGATAGATATTTTAAGGAATTCGCTCACATGATCGTGGGGGCTCTTACATCCAAAGTTTATAGGACAGGCTGGAAATTCAGGTAGGATTTTTATGTTATAGTCTTGAGGCAGAATTTCTTCTCCAGGAATGCTGTTCTTGTACTTAATGCCTTTACTTAATTAGATGAGCCCCACCCAAATTACTAGGATAACCTCCTTTATTTAAAGTTAACTGATTTGAATGTTAATCACTTCTACAAAATACTTTCACAGCATCATCTATACTAGTGTTTGATCAAACAACTGGGCACCATAGCCTAGCCAAGTTGATGCATAAAATTAGCCATTCCACATAGAAAAAACTCCAAGGTTCTCTCTCAGATTATACACACTTATGATGTACTTTCACAAATATTTATGATGTGCCTACTGTGTATCAGGCACTGCACATGGCAGTGAGGATACAGCAAGAAACAAGAAAGACCTGGCCTGTGCCTTCATGGAGTTTGTATACTTCCAGCTCAATGTGTCTAAAATGGAATTCCTTGCCTTCCTCCCAAAAATCTGTTCGTCTTCCAGTGTTACTCTCTAAGTGACTGACTCCATCTAGTTGCACAGTGTAAATCTAAACAACCTTATTCTTCCTTATCCCTGTAGTAAGTCCATCACCAAGTCTTCAGGAACTGACCTAAATGTGTCTCAAATCTATCCACTTGTCTCTATTTTCACTGCCACCACCCTTTTCCAAGCTACTGTCCTGTCTTACCTGGAAAATTGTGCAGTGGCTTTTGACTGTTCTGTCTCTACCTTCAGGCCCCATCTAACATATCCCTACACTGTCACTGTGTGATCTTTTTGAAACCCAAATTTAACCACCACCTTTGCTCTTGCTTAAAAACTAAGGCTTCCCACTGCTCTCAGGTTTAAGAGCAAACTCTTAGGCATGCTTTACAAGGCCCTGCGTGGCCTGGCCTCTGCCTCGCTCCATTTTGCCCCCTCCACTCCAGCCACACTGGCCACTTCCAGTTTCTCTTCTGTACTGGGCACCCTCCTTCCCCAGGACCTTTGCATGTTCTGCTGCCTCTGCCTGAAACCCTGCTGTCCTCTGCCCCATCTAAGTTAACTCTTCCTCCTTCGGAATGAAGGACAATATCACCTCCTCAGAGAAGCTTTCTTTGACCTCTCTGTCTGTACTTTTTAGTAGTGGGTACCTCTCCTTTGTAGGGCTAATCACAGTTATAACTTTACTGTTCTATGTAACATTTGAGCAATGTCAGC